GGATGAAACGCGTGCGGATTCAGAGCGCTCGCGAGCAAACTACAACGATTCTCTGCATGAAATACTACTGGCGAGTTGGGCGTAGTGGAACTGTAGAAGTGCAGAACGCACCTGTCCAAACTCCGATTGTCGCTCCGATAAAAAAAAGAGAGTCGGTTTACTGTACAACCATGTGTTTTATACAATTTCAACACATGAATTTTTTTGCACCATAAGATTAAGATCCAACAGCCTCCATCCTTCTTCTACCTCTAGCCTTCTTCTACCTTCAGACAATCACAAGATCACAGATCCACATATCACAAATCACATATCACAGAAAATATTTTTTTATGGAAGAACAAAAAAACAGAGGAGTTGGTTCCATTGCCCGGCCGGTGCTGGTGCTGCGCTGCTGGTGCTGACGGACTGCTGGTGCTGGTGTCACGTCGCCGATTTGACGGACGGCTGCTGCTGGTGTCGTGTCATGGTGCACTGCTGCTGGTATCGCGTCATGGTGCACTGCTAGTGTACTGTAGATCTGACGGACGTAGATAAACCGAGCTAAAGGTCCGTGGACTAAAATTCATGTGTTTTTTTATCGATAAAACAAATGTGTGTTGTATAGTATTTAAAAAAAAACTCCTATCGTCGCGACTCGTGACGGGCGCGCTGCGCCTGCGCGCAACTTGACGTGGGCGTTGGCGAATAGGCCGAATCGCAACCACGACCCGGCAGCCGGATGGGCCACGCATGGCCCGCTCACCAAACCTTTCTGGTCTGATTTCGATACGCGGGCCCAGGACGGTGGGCCTGCTCCGCGGAAAAATGTGTGGCGCAGATGGCCCTGCGAGTCGCGGTAGGCGCCACCTGCTGCTGTGGTGACGTCACGCCGCTTACACCCTCGTGATCTGTCCGGTTACCGACCGATGCACTGTGCGGGGTCGTGGTTGGGCTTGGTTGTTCCTACTGAAATTTCAGGGCGTGCTTTTTCTATCTATCTCATGGATTTTGGTGCACATTTATGTAAGACTTCCCGAAAGCGCCGGAGCAATGGAGAGCAACTTGATGGTGCACAGATATTTTCATCGACTACCGGGGGGTTATGGGGTGTTTTTGGAAGACCTCATGCCACTCCTAGTGTTTTTATATTAAGAGTAAGGTCCACTGATGTTTTTCAAACTTGTTCCTCCGACGTGACTAGATTATCGTCATTGCCGTCGTTAGCCTCTCCGTTGGAGCCTGACACCAACGAGTGCACCTCGGCTTCGCTTTGCGGCTGGTCGGTGGTCGCTACTCGCTACTGTACGTTCCGCCTCCATCTCCTTCCAGCCTCTTCGTTTCGGCTTATACGATCGTAGATTATAAACTGGAATAATATTTTTCTCTCATATCAAACCAGTCAGCTGTACTTCTAACTTATAATCCACGTTTCAACCAAAACGAACAGGCTGCACCGTCGGCCTACGGCTTCGTCCGCCACCGCTGCGCGCCTGCGCCACGGCCTTGACGCGTGCTGCTTCAGCGGCATGGCTCACACGATGGACACCATCTCCTCGTTGCTCAGCAAGTCCCACGGCCACGGCAGTCGGCACACAGTCCGCGCCAGACACCCCAAACCCAAAGCAACATTTGGTTTTGACTAGGCCGCTAGTAGAACTCCAAATCTAGCCCAACAGGTTGCAAAGTCCACGTAATAGCCCAGTCCTCTACTGCTATCATTGCCTGGCCCATGTAATAATGGGGCAGTCTCAGGCGGATTCCCAAACCTCTCGTAAGGCAAAGGGGTTGCGGTGATTTTCCTTTCCCCGTGTGTTTATGGGGAATGCTTATTCGTCCGTATGGCATAGCTCGATGTATAGTTTTCCAAAGACCGATTGATCTCAAGTGGTGCCAAAATTTTAAAGGGCAGGGAAAATTTGGATTGCAATTCACATCAGCCTGATCCTCCTGAAGGCACACGTGAACCATGAACAGGAAGTGTCGTGCGAAAGACGAAGTAGCCGCTGTACACTTAATGTTAATGTATATAATACCAAAGTGAAAACTTTTGGAGAACACTCGTGTGTTGGAACATAGCCTACGTAGGGATGAGGCTGTACTGTTTAGTTCCTAAAAATTTTCACCCCAAAATGTCACATCGAATCTTGCGGCACATGCATGGAATACTAAATATAGATGAAAAAAACTAATTGCACAGTTGAGTGAGAAATCGCGAGACGAAACTTTCAAACCTAATTAGTCCATAATTAGACACTAATTGTCAAATACAAACGAAAATGCTACAGTAGCCAAAACAAAAAAAATTCACCAACTAAACGCGCCCTTACACTAATAGTACTTCACTCCACGAGATTCCTCTGCACAGTAGTGGTTGCAACGTTTAGTCAGTGCGTCACTTTGCCTCATGCCTCAATTTCCTGTTAGTTACACCAGCCTACTCGCTTTGCATAATTCCATACGCGTTTATAACTTACTTGTGCGAAAAGTTAGATGTGAATTCTCATGTCATTTTCTTCACCGCTTTTTTCTTATGATGGTAGACAACTGGTTGTCAGGATGTGTGCCTATTTTTGGCTCATCATCATATTTGCCAATGATGACTCTGTTTACTTGAGCTTATCAGTCAGAATCAGTCTTACTTTTCAGTCATAGGAACATTGTTTTTCTCTCACAACAAATTAGTCATATAAATCAGTCGCAGCAGCAATAAGTCCTGCCGAACCAGGCCGATGCTGCATTGTTGCTATCGTCAATCAAAAGGGAACAGTTCTCCAGATATACACATTTGATGTTTCTCCGAAGTAGTTACCATGATTGCCATTTTGGAAAACACTCTCTTTAATATGGTAACTTGTGACCTGCCCTGATGTTGATTCTGTTTAGGAAGGTTGCGTTCAAGGACTTGCTGGCTTCTTCTTCTGTACAACATCTATCACTAATCACTCAGCATATTAATGTGTCCATTGAAATACACTTGCATTTTTGTTTTGTAGAATGTTAGCTGAAGGCCTGTATTTGGGACATCCAGTCTGGAAGTCTGTGTGGTACGAAGGATAATAATTTACTTGTGGGGTCTTATTACAACAAATTTTCTAGCATTTAAGTCAAACTGTCATCAGTAAATTTGCCACAGTGCGTGCATCAGTACAAAGGGGACAGCCACATGTATGCACCTTAAACCCGGAAAAATCTGCCTACATAGTAGTAATATCCTCTCTTCGTGCCGTACCTGTCTTAATTTTGTCATGTCCCAAAAAAGCTAACAATTCTGAGGATAGTTCTGACTGAGGCCTAAAAGTTTGCTGCTTCTCGGCTTCAGCCTCGTTTAGATTGAGGTTAGGAATTAGTATTTGACACTGTAGCACTTTCGTTTGTATTTAGTATTTGGCATTGTAGCACTTTCGTTTGTATTTGATAATTATTGTCCAATCATGATCTAACTAGACTCAAAAGATTCGTCTCGTAATTTACAATCAAACTATATAATTAGTTATTCTTTTATCTACATTTAATACTCCATGCATATGTCTAAAGATTTGATGTAACAGAGAGAGAGTAAAAAAACTTGCAATCTAAACGAGGCCTTCGCCTGTTGGACGTGGGAAAGTTTCCGCGCTGTGAACAGGACCGCGTCCAGTCCACGTGGAGGGCTGTGGTTAGTTCACGAAATTTGAGAATTTAGCTACTGTAGCACTTTCGTTTTTATTTAGCAATTAGTATTCAATCATGGACTAATTAGGATCAAAACGTTCGTCTCGCGATTTCTAACCAAACTATGCAATTAATTTTTTTTCATCTACATTTAATACTCCATATACATATCGCAAGATTTGATGTGATGGCTACTGCGGCACTTTTTGGAAAAATTTTTGAGACCTAAACACAGCCTCCGTCACATGTGTTTGCTGCTGCTACTATACGTCTTGCGTAATCCAAAGAGCATGATTAATTCTGAGCCGTGAGCTGTCTCTGCAGTTGGTCATCAGCTTGACCAGCGAGCGGACTCATTCACGGCGAGGCGAGTCGGCGAGCGGCGACGCAAATCAATGGGCGGACGCTCCATAAACGTCCCAACCAATTATTCCGACGCGATTAAAGCCACTGCCCTAGTGCCCTCTCCGGCTCTCCACATTCCACGGTCGCGCACGCTCCATGCAGCAGCGGCGCTTACGTCTCTTGCGGGCTTTATTGTAGGCTGGGCATCATAAATGTGGATGGATCCACGCGCGGGATTGTGGACAGGTGAGTCCAGATATGACGCGGGCCGCGTCATAAATTCAACGTGTTGGTGAGAAATCACGACGTACGAGAGATAGCGCAGCAGCTACGTTTAATCTGTGTTTAGTTCGTGAAATTTGAAAATTTGACTACGGTAGTATTTTTATTTTTATTTGATAATTAGTATTTAATCATAGATTAATTAAGCTCAAAACGTTCGTCTCGCGATTTTTAACCAAACTATGCAATTAGTTTTTTTTCGTCTACATTTAATACTTTATACACGTATCGTAAGATTCGATGTGATAGCTACTGCAGCACTTTTTGAACTAAAGACAGCCTTACCATTCCCGAGTCCCGACAAGGCTTACAGCGTACTCGGCTTGCATTGGACTATTAAACCCAAGCGAGAAGTTTGGTATCGCTGCATCGCCTAGCTAACCTCCTCGCGCACGTACCCGAACGAGGAACGATGCACTCCACTGCTCCAGTCCAGTGGTCAGTGGAGCACCGCACAGCCATCGCTCTCTAGAAGTAATGGCCACTCAAGTTAGCTGTGCGAGGGAGGTTGCCTTACGTTGCAATTATACACCGTCTCGTCGATGCAAAGCCTCCCCATCAATCCGCATCCATACTCCCCCGGCCCGTCACCACCAACCTCGCGTCGCTTATATTAACACCTCGCCGCCCCACTCTCCACTGGCAGCTCGCAGCAGCAGTCTCTCCTCGTGCTCCCACTCCTTCTCTGGGGCCGGGCCTGGCGGTGAGCGAGATCGAGCACACTGGTAGCAAAAGACAAGATGGTGGCGTCTCGCAGGTTCAAGCCCATCGAGGAGTGCTCCTCGGAGGGGCGGTCGGAGCAGACGGTGGCGGCCGACCTGGACGGCACGCTGCTCATTTCCCGGAGCGCGTTCCCCTACTACCTCCTCGTGGCGCTGGAGGCCGGGAGCGTCCTCCGCGCCGCGCTGCTGCTCCTGTCCGTGCCCTTCGTCTACGTCACCTACATCTTCTTCTCCGAGTCGCTGGCCATCAGCACGCTCGTGTACATCTCCGTCGCGGGGCTCAAGGTGCGCAGCATCGAGATGGTGGCGCAGTCCGTGCTCCCCAGGTTCTATGCGGGCGACGTGCACCCGGAGAGCTGGAGGGTGTTCAGCTCCTTCGGCAAGCGCTACATCATCACGGCCAGCCCCAGGATCATGGTCGAGCCCTTCGCCAGGGCCTTGCTCGGCGCCGACAAGGTCGTCGGGACCGAGCTGGAGGTCGGCAAGAACGGCAAGGCCACGGGGTTCATGGTCAAGCCCGGCGTGCTCGTCGGCGACCACAAGAAGAAAGCCGTCGTCAAGGAGCTGGGCGACGCCGTGCCCGACGTCGGCATGGGGGATAGGGAGACCGACTTCGACTTCATGTCCATCTGCAAGGTATGACTATGACGTAGGAGTACTCCCATCCCCTGGCTCAGCTACTAGTATAGCTCTCAATTTACTGGCAAAATAATAAATTATCGTCAATTTTTAAACTGATACTTCCAAATGCGTGATGGTTTGTTGAATTGGTAACGTTGGACGTTGTTTTCTGATAATCTGATCTCGTCGATGCATTAGTGTTTGTTAGCACCCAGATTTGCAACTACTACAGACTATTTAGGCTTGAGCAGGCAACACGGAACCTATCGGGTAGTTGATGCAGGTTGGAGCTGAAGTACAGTAGAAACGACACCCAACTGTTTCACAATTTAGGTAACATCTGAGTATCTGACCGCTAATTAAATGACACTTGTTAAGTTTTTCATCTGCCTCAACTGAAGGCCACCCTGATTGGACTTTAAGAGTTACTCCGTAAGACGCGCTTGTAAATTTGGTCTGACTGACTACGATTGCTAGTAGCACCATCTAGACTGAGGATTTGTTTACTCTGACTATAGCTATAGCTTACTAGTACTAGCATCGAGATGGAAAGAAAGAAAGAAAGAAAGAAAGAAAGAAAGAAAGCATCGGGTAGTATAATACAGGTTTGAAATATTTTACACACATATATAAATGGCCATGGGTTTTCTAGTCCAGGTACAGTATCATCGTAGGCATCGTCGCCCTGCTGTTCTGCCGTACTTCACTGGTTTTCGTCCATTTGTTTTCTCAAGAATTCAGATAGTTTAGTCCACGTCAGATTTTTATGACACATGGCTAAAAAAACAGTATTGATATCTATCAACCGGTTAATTAAGGAGCTTGTATCAACTCATTTTTGGACCGTTCGTTGCCGTCGGCCGATGGCCTAGGCCGTCCGATGCGTCCGCCGTTGTTAAGTGTATGCATCCATCATCCGTGCGCGCATAGTACATGGCAAAAGTGGACGCATGAGATTCGATCCAGGACACGTCGCATGCAGTTCGTCATGCACGCTTCGCGCTATAGAAAAATTTGTAAATTTGTAAGTTTCTAAAAAATTTGATGATATTTATGAACAATTTGATATATATATATTTGTCTGATATCAGGATCCATAGAAAAAATTTGTATTTTTTTTGAAAAATTTGGTATATATTTGTGTTATTTTCAAATTATATCACTTTGTTTAATAAATTACACTGAATAAATCATTGTAAATATAGCAATAAGATAATGTAAATATAGCTAGAAAATGGTGTAACTACATAGAAAAAAATTTAGTTGACAGAAGAGGCAAAAACAACTTAACGTCACCTAGATGTATAAAAAAAAGGTTTTGTGACACATACATGCATCACTGTACACACGGTGAACAACACCCCCGTCCAAGCCACTACGTACAGTAACAGCGACCGTCCTATGGTCCTAATGTCGCTGCACTGCCATCATTTGAGGGTGTTTGGATTCGACGACTAAAATTTAGGAGGTAATATACGAGGGTGTCGTATGGGGGTGTTGGAATATTAATAAAATAAATAAATAAATTACAGAATTCGTCAGTAAGTTTAATTAATTCATCATAAGCACATGCTTACTGTAGCACCACATTGTCGAATCATGGACTAATTGGTTTAAAAGATTCATCTCGTAAATTAGTCGTAAACTATGTAATTAGTTTTGTAATTAGTTTATATTTAATACTTTTTGTGTCAAATATTCGATCGAATTAGAAGGAGGAATCGTACCCTGATATCTCAGGGTGGTTGTCAGTTGTCACAACTGAGCAACCAGATTGAGGTCTTAGATAACGTCGTGCCACCACCCGTTGACACATTTACAGCGCAAGCAAGTGGACGCCGGGCATCACCGGTTTCGCTGGCGGCTGGCCCGGGCGGATTGAAGGCGCGCGTCCGCCCGGTCTCGTCTCGGCTCCATTTACGGTTGTTTGGTGGAGAATTCATGGCGTCCTGTCCCCGGGCGCAATGAAGGAGACCGGCCCTACTGGCTGGCGCGTTAAGCATTAAAGCTGGAGCTGAGCGTGCCAGATCTATGGCTGCCGTATTTCTTTTCTTTCTTCCATCGTCGTCCGGCCGGCCGGTTTTGCACCGGAGTAATACGGTGTTGGCACTGTTCGTCCTGGGACCGTCGTCATGGCGCTGTCCGTGTGCTGCCATACTACTCTCTAGAGTGGGTGCTTGTTACAACGGCGGCGGTTTACGATCTTGAGCTGGCTGCAGCCGGCCCGGCTCGTTACGAGCCTGCGTTCCTATGGGTCCTGGTCATCGGAGCTGATAACATATAAGGTTTTGGGCCTTACTCAATCAAAAAGACTGGCCTTTACACGATGTGTGACTAAACTCCAACAATCTCCCCTTAGTCACACATCGGGGTCGAGATTTTTTTATCGGGTTTTGCTTTTCTGACTATGGGCTCTCGATACCAATTGTTGGAACCGGTGGTGACCACCGAGTTCACGATCTTAGAGCTGACTTGCAGTTGGCCCGGCTCGTTACGAGCCTGCGCTCCCACAGATCCTAGGCCCACCGGAGCTGACAACATATAAGGCCTTGGGCCTTATTCAACCCAAAAGACTAACCTAAGTAGGTGAGGATTCTTCCGCCTTATATGTTGTGCTCCCCATCATCGCTACACGACGTGGGACTAAACCCAGCGCTCCTGATTTTTGCAGGGCTACGCGCGCTCTGCTGTCGCACTGAACAAATATAACAATTAATGCCCGTACTGATCGAAAATTACTGAGTGGTGTACACTGGTACTCCGTATGTACTACGATGACAACGTACGTAATGTGGCTGTGCAGGAGGCCTACCTGGTGACGTCTAGGAAGTACAGCCCGGTGCCCAAGAACCAGCTGCTGAGCCCGCTCATCCTACACGACGGTCGCCTCGTGCAGCGCCCGACGCCGCTCGTCGCGCTCGTCACCTTCCTCTGGATGCCGTTCGGCTTCGCGCTCGCGCTCATGCGCGTGTACATCAACCTGCCGCTGCCCGAGCGCATCGTCTACTACACCTACAAGCTTATGGGCATCAGGCTCATCGTCAAGGGCAACCCGCCGCCCCCGCCCAAGAAGGGCCACCCGGGCGTCCTCTTCGTCTGCAACCACCGCACCGTGCTCGACCCCGTCGAGGTCGCCGTGGCGCTGCGCCGCAAGGTCAGCTGCGTCACCTACAGCATCTCCAAGTTCTCCGAGCTCATCTCGCCCATCAAGGCCGTCGCGCTGTCGCGGGAGCGTGAGAAGGACGCCGAGAACATCCGCCGCCTGCTGGAGGAGGGCGACCTGGTGATCTGCCCCGAGGGCACCACCTGCCGCGAGCCCTTCCTGCTGCGGTTCAGCGCGCTCTTCGCCGAGCTCACCGACCGCATCGTGCCCGTGGCGATCAACACCAAGGAGAGCATGTTCCACGGCTCCACCGTGCGCGGGTTCAAGCTCATGGACCCCTACTTCTTCTTCATGAACCCGCGGCCGACATACGAGATCACGTTCCTGACCCAGCTCCCCAAGGACCTCACATGCAGCGGCGGCAAGTCGCCCATCGAGGTGGCCAACTACATCCAGCAGACGCTCAGCGGACAGCTTGGCTTCGAGTGCACCACCATCACGCGCAAGGAGAAGTACGGCATACTCGCTGGCACCGACGGCCGTGTCCCGTCCAAGAACAAGGAGAAGGAGAAGGAGAAGGAGAAGAACTAACGGCCGCACACTGCATGCCGTTTACTGCTCAAATTTATTCCAATTAATTGTTCCTTGTAGAGAAGTTGGCCAATTACTCATCGTTTTTAAAAAGGACCATGTGATGTGGGCCGTGTACTAGTACAAGCTTGATGATCATATAATTATCTACAAGTTCTTCCTTTTCGGAAGAAACAGCATGTTCGTTGTTGGTTTTAGTCAGGGTTTATCAGCCATGGTATAGTATTTTTCTCTCACAATAAACCAGCACTAGCCGGGCTTATCAGCTCAGAAACCAACTAGCGAACAGCTGAAAGACGGAAGCTGAAAGACGGAAGTGTTGTTAGGCCTGTCTTGATACAAAGTTTTATCACATAGTTTTCAAGAATACTACATTAGTTTTACCCATTTCGGTTGATGAATGAAACAACCCCTCTTAGGGCTCTTTTGGAAGCAAGGGGGAGCAAAATCTAGGAATGGAAAAAACCCACTGAAAACTAGAATGATAATTAAAATAATATCCCCATGGATTTTCCACTCAGGAAAAAGTCCGGGATGCTGGAGGGATTGGAGTTTTCAAATTAGGCCTTAGTGATTTCATCTCACAATTTTATAGATCACTGCAACATTTAGTTGTTATATATATGGTGCTATGATTATATAATATATAGTACACATGCAATTGCATATAATTTTTTAATATATAGTATACGCAATTGCTTTTTTTCTTTTTTGCTTTCACACGGAAGTACATTTCACACATGGTTCAAAAAGGTGACGCTAGGCGGCCGCCTAGGCGCGACTAATTACTAGGCGAGGGGGTTCCGCCAGGCCTATGGGGGTAGGCGGACCCCTAGCCGGGCTGAGGTCGCCGGTGGGGGAGGAGCAGCCTCGGGCGACAGCGCAGACAGAGATGCGGGAGAGGGAGAGGAACCTACAGCGGCAGGCTCGGAGAGAGAGAGAGAGAGAGAGAGAGAGAGAGAGAGAGAGAGAGAGAGAGCTGCGGGAGAGGGAGTGGAATGGGCAGCTGCAGACGCAAACAGGGATGCGGCCATACGGGCAAGAGAGAGAGATGCGGGAGAGGGAGAGGAACTATTGGCGGCGGCGGGCGAGACAGAGATGCGAGCGACAGAGGCGTGCGAGAGAGAGATGCGAGCGAGAGCGACACAGAGATGCGGGAGAGGCTGGAACGTGGGATAGTTGGGCCATTAAATGGGCCTTCTTCTCTTTCTTCCTATTCCATGACCACTGGAGTGCCCCTAAGACCTGGCTAGTTGTCAATTAATCAGAAGCGTAGCAGCTTGTTGGGGGCATGCAGGTCTTTCATCCTCAACATTGATCTACGTGATGAATTCTAAAACGTCTAGCTTTCTAAGACAGAGGGAGTAGCGTTGAAGGATAGACAATTTATTGGTAAATGCTATGACAAATGAGTGTGGAGGCTTGTTCCTCTTTTCTTTAACATTTTTTTTGTAATAAGTCAGTGAATTATATTTATAGCATGGTTAATGATAATGCAAGTGTTTGGCACTCTTGCATGTCATGCTAACTTTGGTTTGATGTCATGAATTCATGATTGTCCAGCATGAGTTTAATCCATATTTCACTATTGCCACATGTTCTAGGTTTCATAGTCATGTGCAGTCAAAGCAACCTCGAATGCCTCACAAGGCAGCGGAGGAAAGAAACTTGGCACCTCTAAAACTCATACATTATGATCTATGCGAGATGAATGGTGTGTTGACAAAAAGTGAAAGAGATATTTCATGACTTTAATGGATGATGCAACTAGATTTTTCTATGTTTACTTGATTAAATCTAAGGATGAAACGCTTGATTACTTTAAAATCTATAAGGCTGAAGTTGAGAACCAACTAGAGAGAAAGATTAAGAGTCTAAGGTCGGATCGTGATGGTGACTATTTTCTCATATTGTTTGATGAATTAAGTGAGGAACACGGTATTATTTATGAGAGTACGCCTCCTTATTTGCCTGAATCAATTGGGATTGCTGTCACGAAAAAACGGACGCTGACTGACTTGGTGAGCGCCGTGTTAGACACTGCTGGTTTATCTAAGATATGCTGGAGCAACAAAATAGCTCCATCTCCCCCAATTGACAGTTTTATAGAGACGAGGGATGAGATTGGACTAGAGATGCTCTAAGGATCTAAACACCACCACCCCTTAGCCCTACCGCTTGTGTGTACATAGCGAGAGACGAGAGAGACATAATACACCCTCCATCCTCCGACATTGATTTAAGACATGTTTCATACTCGTATATGCAAAGTAAAAAGCTCCATTGCTATGTCGATCCATCAAACCTAAACAAAAGTACACAAACTGATCCATCCACACAAAAGTACATAGGTACAACCATATGACGCCAGGTACCCACAAACCTAATAGTCTAACAAAGAGGGGGGAACGAAAAGAACGATATGACTTGGACAGGCAGAGAGGCACATAGTTTGAAAACGCGGCGTGGCTAGACAGCGTGGAGCTGGACAAGGAGACGATGACGGCACGGCTCGGCGGTGCGACGCTAGTCTGGAGACGGTGGCGTGGCTCGGCACGGCCCCGGAGGAAAGGGGTGCGAGGGCAATGGAGGCGTCAGAAGAGGAAAGAAGAAAGAGATGAGGTGTGTTGCAGTTTCAGCATAGGAAAAGATAAGGAGAGTGAAGAACAAAAGAAAAAAATAAAGATATTTTGGATATTTCACCCTTTTCACTTACCTGGAGAAGTTGTTTTGCCAAATATTTTTTTATCAAGTGAAGCTAGAGCTAAAAAAAACTATTTTACCAGAGAAGTTGTTTGGCCTCAAACAGAAGTTTTACTAAACACGCCTTTAGAGTGACACATCCGTTGTATAGAATATGCCAGGGCACATTTTAGCCTACCGCTTGTGTGTACACAGCCAGAGACGAGAGAGACATACACCCTCCATCCTCCGCCACTGATTTAAAACAGGTTTTTATACTTGTATGTGCAAAGTAAAGAACTCCATTGCTCACAAACCGATCCAACCACACAAAAAGCACACAAGTACAACCATATGACGCCATGTCACCCACAAACCTAACGGTCTAACGAAGAGGGGGGAAACGGAGAAAACGATGACTTTGACAGGCAGAGGCGCATAGAAGAACTTCAGCACGAAGAAGCCAATGCCAATGTGCGCGGGCACATGCAAGGCTTATGCAGCTGCTGCAGTTGTGGTCGGGATCACAAAGGCTCCCAGCTGCGGTGCTTCCTCCGGTGCCGTGACGTATGCGGCGAGGTCCCGCGGCTTGACGTTCACGCGGAGGCCGTTCTTCATGAACAGAGTGAGCGACATCTTCTGCTCCACCTTGTGCCCAGGGACGAGATCCACCGAGTGGCGCAGCAGCACAGCGGACGCGATGGACTTCATCTGCAGGTACGCCAGGTCCTTGCCCAGGCAAATCCGCGGCCCGCCGTTGAACGCCACGAAGCGGTACGCGTCCTTGGCCGGCTCGAACCGGGTCCCGTCAGCCGAGAGCCACCGCTCAGGCCGGAACTCAGCGCAGTCCTTCCCCCAGATGGTCTCCATTCGTCCAACCGAGTAGATGGAGTAGGTGATCGCTGAGCCGGCCGGCACCAAGGTGCCATCGGGCAACACGTCGTCCTCCACCACGTACTTGGAGTCCTGCGGCACCGACGGGTACAGCCGCAGCGTCTCCGCCAATGCCGCCTTCAGGTACACGAGGCGATCCAGCTCGTCGAAGTCCAGCGGCTCCTCAGTCCACCTCCCGGTGTCGTCGCCCCGCGTCTCCCTGAGCACGGAGGCGATCTCCAGGACCACCTTGCGCTCGACGTCGCGCCGCAGCATGAGCATCCAGAAGAACCAGCTGAGCGCGACGGACGACGTGTCGCGCCCGGCGAGCACGAAGTTGAGCGCGATCCACTGGAGCACGTCCTCTGGGAACGCCCTGCCATTGCCGTCGCGCTTCTTCATGAACCTGGAGAGCAGGTCGTCCGACGGCGTCGCCTTGCGCGCCGCGATGGCCTCTGTCATGTATTGGTCCACGATCGCGAGGCTCTCGCGGAGGTTCCGCTCGCTGCCGACGCCGAGCGCCTTCTTGATGCGCCACAAGAAGCTGGGGAACAGGAACCTCTGCAGCGTCGCCTCGGTAGCGGAGTCGAAGGCATTGGCGAAGGGGTTGTCCTGCAACCCCGGCGACAATGTCTCGGGGTCCTTGCCGAAAGTGAGGCCGCAGATGTTGTCGAAGGTGAGGCGCAGGAGCAGGTCCTGGAGGTCGACGCTCGCTGCGGCTTCGCAGTGGTCTGCGAGGATACTCCACAGGCGGTACTTGATAATGCGGTTGGCCCAGCGTGCCATCGCCTGGCGCAAGGTCCGCGTGGTGAACTCGAGCGCCGCCGTCTTGCGCTGGAGCAGCCACGTCTCGCCGTCGGAGTTGAAGATGCCCTGGCCTAGGAGGTCGTGGAACGCCGCCTGCCACATGGGGCCCTTGGGGTAGTTGTCGAAACGCGCGCGCAGGATGTGCTCCAGGTTCCGCGCGTTGCACGTCACGGTCACCAGCCCCTGGCGCTGCGCGAGGAACGGCAGCGGCAGGATGCACGTCTGGTACGTGGCCGCTTCCCCCGTGGAGCGCAGGTTGTCGACGATCCAGTCGTGGACCCGCGCCCGGTTCAGGACGACGCTGGGCAGGCTGCCGACGAGGGGCCACATCCGCGGCCCGGACAGCCGCCGCGTCAGCGCCCAGAACCACACCATGTACGCCGAGATCAATGCGGCTGCCGCCGCGGCGACGGCATAGGGGTGAGAGTGCAGGACACCGGCGTCCAGTACAGTGGCCATGCCGGTGCGTTTTAAGCTTGGAATCGCACCTGGTTGTAACAGCACTGTCGCGATATAATTAGGAGCGCTGGGTTTAGGCGCTGCGATAAAGAAATGGCGGCGCTGTTCTTGGTGAGTTGGGAAATGTTTTGGCGCCCTCGTGTATATATATGTCCTCTGCACACGAGCCGTGTGGAGAG